TCGACATACTCATTACTGCTGAGTGATACTGTATTTCATGTTTGTCGCATACGGGCTGGTACTCGTTGCCCCAAAAATCGTGGGTTCCCCACTCTCCGGCATATCTTTTCTTTGAGCGTTCTAGAGCACCAAATACCAGTGGACCAATTCCATTTATTTCTTTATTGCCCCGTTTATTGTGGCCTTTACAGCCTAGTCTATGCTATCGTTAATGGCTAGCTCACTCCCTAGATATGGGGAACCCCACGTTCTCTTGAAACAAGCTACGCTTCTATGGGGCAGGAGAGGTCCTCGCAACCCTGTGACCTTCAGCCCACTGTACAGTTTCATTGTGTGGGCAATATGCCTGACTCCTTAGTAATTGGAACACTCCTGCTTAGGAACTGGAATGATAATACTGCTTTTCTCCGATCTGAGGTACATCCTCCAATGATCAGAGTGTTCAGGAAATGATAGGCTAACAGATCTCGTGTTCCCTGACTACTTAAATCGCTCCCTATGATGGGGCCAAACGGATAGCCGCCGGCTTTCCCTCCTTTGCGTGTTGGAGTTGGTCTGCCACCTGCATCCGCTCCGGATTAGGACGTTCTTTCCGGCGAGACACACATTGTGGCATACGCCCTCACCTACAGCGACACACACAGACAAACCAGCAGACACATCTGGCCCGTAATATAAAAAGGGTAAAGACTTGGGGCGTTGATCAATCCCGTCTGAGAGGCGCGCTCACGCATTCGAGTTCAATTCAGAATCGCAGTAGCGTAATGAATGCGTATGTGGCCTACACAATGACTTGCAGTGGCCAGCCAATGTACAAGTCAGTGCTTTTGTCCTCCCAGACGAGTTTGGTACCAATCAACCGACCCCGTAGGGATTTGGGAGGCTTCGTTGGCCTAGGCAGATATTGATCCGGTATTTGAACCCGTGACCATGCGCGTGTGAAGTGCGCCACTTGCCACTACACCACCTCTGCCCGGCCCGTATGTAGTAGGTAATCCCCCTTCCGAAACAGATCTGATGGCATCTCAGAGCTCAATTGAAATCATTTCGGTGCACCTCATTTACAGTGCGTGCACGGAAATGATTGTCCAACACCTCTATTTCGTGTCTATCCTTTCAGCCGTGTCTCGTTATTGATGCTGTTGACAGCGGAGACGGAGTCTCTGAAGATGTCAACATTGCTATGGCTTTGTCATATCTTTAGATGTTTTCTCCGTTGTAGAAGAGCTTGAGAGCTTCTCCCATTTTTCTGACCTTTCCTCCTTTCCAGCGTGTCCCGGAAACACGGTGATCATTCCTGGGTAGCATTTAGGTAGTCCTCAAAAGTCAGACGAGGGTCCTATGTGTCTCTTCCGTACGTCGTCTTAGCCTGTACACTAATCTACTTGCAGGCTCACATTTTTGTTGTAGCAGGGTTTCTCCATCCAGCCGAGCTGTCAGTCTGAGCCTGACCCTGGTACCGACACCATTTTTAGCAAATTGAACCTGAACTCTTGATCTATCTAAGCGCAGACTCCTTTGTCCTCCTGACCCTTCTTGAAATATTGCTGAGAAAGCTTCAAAAACTGTATACAACCAATGTCCTAACGATTACAAAGTAATTGACTAGTAAGCAAGAAAATTTAATATTTCTTACCAGTCTTCACTTTCGATTTTCTTCAAAGCATTCACGACGGTCTTCGGTCCCGTAGTTTGCAAAGTACGAGCTGCTGGAGTAGGCTGGAACTTATTAGGTGCCGACGATTTTGGTTGGGCCGCAGGCAGCAACTTTGTCGTTGATTGCTGCTTACGTACTGGAGTGGATTTCTGGAACGAGTAATCCATGTGGCCACGGAGTTGAGTATAGTTTTTACCTCAAGAAAGGGTTTCACAAGTCAAAGGGTTGGAAGGTTGAAGGAACAACTATGTAGGACTGTCCAGGCCAACCTGCCCTGTACACTCGATTCCCTTTGAGGGCGGCAGAGATATAGCCAGTAAGAAAGTGGTTATAATTGCCCTTTTTGAGTCTTTGGCGTTGATCAATCCCTTTTGTGAGCGGGAGCGATCCCACAGGATTAATCAACACCCAAAAACTCCAATAAAGCTGAAGCTGGGTACAAAACCTGTCATCATAACTCATGTTGCCAATGGGTTGGTTTGGAGATGACTTAGAGCCGTTGGTTCCGACTATCTAGGTCTATGGAATGGCTATCACATTTACTTTCTATCCGATGACTCTGATGTTTTGGGTCAAATTTGGTTCATAGTTATCGATGTGAAATTTCTAAAAGGGCTTCCACTCAGAATTTTGGTGGTCGGTTAGGGCAAGTTCCTCACTTAGCAACCCCATGAGTAACGAAAGAAGTCGAAGTTTTGAAAACAAATTGCTCAAATCTCTTCCAAACGAGAACAAGCCATCAGCTAGAAAAAACTGGGTACACTTACGACATTTTTGAGTGTTGTATGAGTAGCGGTAACAGGCAGACTGTGATGGCTCGTGCTCTTTTTTGCCAAGGATCCGTAGCCGGCTGTTCCATTGGAGAGCTCTAAACACTGCGAATTTATGACTATTCACGACCAATTGGGTACATAATTGATGGTTTCATCCATAAATGGATTGTGATTTAAAATAATTTGGACTCAGAAGTGTTCTTATGTACCTGCGACCACTTTGAATTCTGTCATCCATCGCTAAATACTTGAAGGGGGCGATCTGGGGGAACTCCAGCCCTCCAAAAAAATGACCACCTTGCGAAGTCATTCGCCTATTTCCGCCCTTTTAATGGCCGTTGTAGCGAAACAATAAGGAAATGCCTTACGTGGTGTCCAAAGGACATTCCGGTAGTCGAGCCATGAGTTCATGGATTTTGAGGTTCGGAGACCATGGATAGGCGGCAGGTACTCTGAGGCATACATGAAAGGAATAGCTCTCCACTAGGATCCCGGTGCCAGGCAACCAGGTTGACTGGCCATTATCGTAGAATACGAAAGGGTGTTCGTTATGAAGAAGTGGACAGAGAATGGGAAGCTTATTAGTCAGCCTACCTAAACAACACAATACCTAAGTTGAGTGGGAGCAAGATCCCCTCACCAGCCCCTCCAACAGGAACTGTTCGGGTTGATNCAGATCTTTACTACGAAGAGCAGTTCTTTTTCTCATAGTCCACATTAAGTTTGAAACAATTACTCTATTCTTGAGAACAGTTACCGTTGAGGTCGTCGTCGAAATACTTTCCACCTTTGGCTGGTTTGATTGGGACATCATCGAAATTCACAGGAGGATTGTTCTCCACCTCCTCAATGAGGTTGCCTTCACTTTTCGCCTGAAAAAGAACATTGAGTAAAGGGGAGTAACAGAGGAAAGTACTCGAGCTACTTGAGTTTTGTTTGTTGTTAGCATAGAAAAAGAAATTTCGCCCAAAAAGCAAATCTAACTGGAATATCCATGAGAAAAATAGCGTGACAGCGTCCCAATGGGGTAGGGGATTGAGCAGCAGCTCTTTGGAAACACCGAGGTGCAATTCAATCGTCATCTCAAGCACAACAACGAAAATCGGAAGAGGTGATATCAAAGTAGTGCTTTCAGGCAGCATATACTAGGTTGATGTGAAGGTTTCGGGACACAGATAATAAGGCAAGGTCGTTTCTGTATAGGAACCTCTGCTCAGACCATTACCGCATTCTAGAACAATTCCGAAGTTACCGCTGGTGCTATTCCGATATGTTCCCGAGCTGCTCTCCAGTAAATCTGTTTGGTAGAGTTGTCGAGAGACTAACTTCGAGCACTCGCAATCCAGTGCTCGTCCCACTGGCTCTGGCATCAACACTGCATTCGGGGAAGATCAGCTATGCGACCGTAAATCGTTCAGACGCTCGCTTTTATTCTGGGAATACCGCGATCCTCGCCCGAACTACCAATCACTATTGATGATAGGCGATTTCCCAGGGAATTTGCGGAGCTTATCAAGCTTGGCAGACAAGCGCTAGATCATCTATAATAACAAGTCTCTCAAAAGAAGAAGATATGCTCGTGCCACTGGGCCAGAGCCTGAGCCAGAACCGCTGGGATATCGTTCCTCAACGTTCATATTATCCTAGGCATAGCCAAGTGGTTAAGCATGAAGGCAGAAAAGCGCACTACTTTGTTTTGCAAACATTGCAAAAATTGGTATCAATACGGTCATCTGGGACTCCCGCCCGAGTCGTCTGGAAGGTATGAGACGGCTGTCGAGGAATGAACGACTTCGGCAGGAAGAAGTTAGCTCAAATCGAGACCCTAGGCGTCGAATCACTCACCACCTCTCGGGAAGCTTCCTATGTGAGAATGAGAAATCGTCAAAGTTTCATGCCTCCAAAAGACACTCTAGTAAGGAGCAAGAACCTACATTACATTGGAGTAGGCATTGAAAGAAACGGTATGGCTGCAGCACTTGCGGAGCACGTTACGTACTCTGTCTCCCCTGTCAACAGAATCAACGATTGAATTATGGCTATGAGGGTAAACACGAAGGGTAGTACTGGAGAATAATATTCGTGTACATGCTGTAATCCGACTGCGCCTGAATGCGAAAAAAATGAGCTATTTCTGAGCCTTGAATATGCCATCAGATCACTCCCGGAAATGAACTGGAAAAGGGAATACGATTGTGGGTGATCTGAATAGTCATGTCAGCAGTGAATGGAGAAGCCGAAAAGGACTCCGAAGCTAGAGGAATACTAGTCAGTAACGACGAATGAGAGAGGGACTTCGCTCTGACCCTAGCCCACGACCTGGAAGTCTCAGAACTTTCTTCGCACTGTATTACCCAGAAGGTAACTTGCCGCGGTGGTGGGAGACGAACGGAAATTGACCATGTGCTCGTGAGAAGATCGTGCCTCGAAACCGTCAAGGATATCAAGTTATTCGACTCTAGGACTTTTGAGTCCTTCAAAACCGAAAAAGAGGAACTCAAACGTGGGATACAGTAATCTGGTGCTTCAGATTAAGGAGGACTGATCCAGCAGACCTGAAGCGAGGGTGTGAAAATCATCCTTCGATGTGTATGGGGAATCTGGGGGAGACTCAAGGTGAATCCTGGAGAGAAAAGGAAGCATTGTTCCTGAACATTGCAGTCCAGCGAGTTGTAAGGGAGAAAAAAATGCCTACGAGCGCTGGCAAAAGAAGCGAGTCGTAGTAGACTAGCTGACTGTGAAGTTGCTAGAGTTTTACCAAGATGCTGTAGCAAACACGAATGGTCGCTTTGCAGGAGAAGCTTGGTGGTCGAGTAGAAGAGAAGCTCGTCTTCCGGCTGTCTAAAGCGCAGCATCGAGCTACTTAGGACAACAAAGTAGCGGGACTGTATGGGACAGCGACGGTGCAATCTTGAAGAACTCTGGTGAGGACAGGAAAAGTTATACAGAATACTTCGACACATCTCTAAACTAAAAATTTCAATATAAGAGCAGTTCCCAAATGAAAGCGACGATTGGTCCTATTGCATTCTGAACAGTAGATTAGGTCTGTCGAGCATTAGGGAAGGTGAACCTTGGTGAGGCTACTAGCCCCGTGTTACCGGTCGAGTCGTGAAGACGCCCCAAAGCACGGGATCAAGTGGCTCAACCAATTCATGAATACTGTGACTGTTGAAAGAAAAATCCTTGATTCGTGTGGAACCAGTACCGTCAGTTCCATTTCTGAGCAGGGGGTGACACGATGAAGTGGTTCAATTCTCAGAGGATCAGGTCGACTGCCTACGCGATGATTCCGTACAAGCGGTGAGACGACTTACGATTGAGGGGACTTGCCGCCATCCCACAGAGGCAATTCAGGTTAGTGCCAGAAAGTTCCAAAACGGATGCCACCTTAACAGCTAGACAAGTGATTGAGAAGTATCGAGAAAAACCTGGGCCCTGCTACCTAGCCTACTTTGTTCTGGAAAAAGCTTTCGATTACCTCCAGTCACAAATTCTCTGAGAAGCCGAATACCCAGTAAATAGAGTTCCGCTCGTTTCTGACCTGGGATTCCACTTAGTATTAAAAAAGAATGAATATGCTTTCCAATGAAACGTTTAAAGAGATCTCTGAAGACCTGCAATACAAACCTTTGCTAGAGTCGAAGGCGAGCTGGGGACGTGTTTTTTGATAGGAAGATTGTTATTGTTGAGCTCTACTTTTTTACCCGATTCAGTTGGNCCAATGAAACGTTTAAAGAGATCTCTGAAGACCTGCAATACAAACCTTTGCCAGAGTCGAAGGCGAGCTGGGGACATGTTTTTTGATAGGAATATTGTTATTGTTGAGCTCTACTTTTTTACCCGATTCAGTTGGTGCTTCACC